CTCATTATCAATGATTTTAGATCAAATTGCATGGGATACCTGGAAATTAGCTCAAGAATATTACAATATATATCCTGTCGACCCAAAGTTTCCTAATGTTGATTGGACTCACATCCCATGCATGACCAATCATCCTTGATTTACACTCAAGGTAATGATTTGATTTGCATTTTACGCTGAAGAATGATTTGCAAGCATTCTCCAGGAAGGAATGGGTTCCTTAGGAGGATGTCCATGATTTTATGAGTCTCGAGTCAAGCAAAAGAACCACGAACACAGACGTGTATAGAGACTGAGAGGCCGCCATGCAAGCATAATGCTTCTACTGTACAGTATTTCGGCACAACATTAGTGACAGGGTCAGGAGATCCGGTAATTTAACATTAGATAATTGAGACCAAGAAAGTCTGGTCGGATTCGAAGAGGCTTTCCCCTAATTGTTAATTAGAGGTCTTATGCTGCAGCCGCTACTGTGACGTCATTCCTGTGCTCTGGCTCCAACTAGAATGATGGTTTCAACATGCCAGGGCAATTGGATCAGTTCCCCATGGCTCGCTCCCATTTTTTTATTACAAACCCGGATCATTTTGATTGGTTCTCTTAAACCAAGCCCTCCCTGATTGGTTAGATTAGATTTCAAAGCTATCTAGGATAATCTGCTGATCTCCAGACTTTCCCTAGACTTACAGACTTCCAATACATGGCTTACAATGCACCTAGAAGACAATTAATTCTATTGACTATATGAGAAGTCTTACCACAATTCGAAAGCCCAATTAAACTCGCCCCTCAGGGCAAAATTAAAATGAATTCGAAGGAGGATACACAAGGTCATGCGACGGGGCAAAGCATGGCTGACCTTGTGGCAGGAGGGGCTCTTCCTGAGGGCATGGGCATGGTGGTCGAGGAGCTGCCTGACGACGTGTGGGTGTGGTGTGAGAATGGCGGCATGCAGCTCGCTCACCACAGAGGCGCTCATCTCGCTCGCCCGCCCACCACCCCTCCAGCCACGCCCACCGCCGCCTCCGCCAGTGCCACGCCTACTGACGACGCCAGTGTCACGCCCGCCGGCCGCCACGCCTCGCACGCACACACTGGTCACATAACAAGCAAATAGTAACATAATAACAGGGAAATAGAAGAACATGTATCATTAATATACACATTTACAAAATACTGTACTGTATACATTTCTGTTATTTATATAAACATTCGAATGCACGCCAAAATAACAGGGAAATAGAAGAAAATGTATAAGTAATATACACATTTACACAATACTGTACTGTATACATTTCCTTTCCGTATATAAGCATTCTAATGCACACCAGAGATAATATTATCGTGGCATGAATAATATGTATGTAAACCAATCTACAATAACATGAAATATACATATTACATTCGCTCCTGAATATTTTAATTTACACAGAACGTTTTATATATGCAATGAACAACAAAGTCATATGGGCTGGAGTTCATATGATGAGCAAATACAGAATCATTCATAAACTACTCACACTTGCACTATAACGAGGATATCATGCATGTAGAGACAACAACAGAGCAGCTCATCAATCATACGAATCAACGGACTCTATTAAGGGAAGATTCCCACTACCTCCTGACTCACACAAATGTTTCATTAATCAAAATGACGGATTACTCCACGTTGCCAAGCCTAGCTCCCTCCTTCCTTCCTTCCAGAGGGCTCTTATACCATGACTGTTCCATCAGTGTAATGTTTAATTGGCTGGTATTTAAAGTCTACCTTTTAGTCGTTTGATTGGTATATAAAAGGCTACCTTTGGTTGTTTGATTGGTATATAAAGGCTATACCTTTTGTCGTTTGATTGGTATATAACGTCTACCTTTTGTCGTTTGATTAGTATATAAAAGTCTACCTTTGGTTGTATGACTGGTATATAAAATCAACCTTTTCTTGATTGATTGGTATATAAAGTCTACCTTTGGTTGTGTGACTGATATATAAAGTCTAGCCTTTGTTGTTTGTTATTAATCTAAATGTTTTCTCTGTTAGAATAGCTGTTTATTTTATTAAGTGGCTGGAAGTATGTTAAACGGAGAATTAGACAATGTTTATACCCCATGTGTGTAAAGTTTTCCCGCGCGTTTGGGTAAGGGAAGCCTGTCTCCCGCCACGAGGTCAGAGCGGGTGTAGACTTTACCCGCTGAGGGTGTGTGGTGAACCCTCGTGAGGTGCCCAACTGTTGGAGGTAGTTTACCTCAGTTATCTCAGTGGGACTTAAGTCCAATCGTCCATCTGGTGAGTGAGAACGTCTCCTCTCGTGTTTGAGGTGTTTCTTTATTTACTTTATGATGTTATTCTTCATACACTGCAAGCAAGGCTGAGGAGTTCCGTCTGATTATTATTGAACAAGAATAAGTCAAACCCAATTCTTCATTTCGTCCTCGTCTTTACAATACGAAAACAGCTCTTCCCCACAGACCTCTTACTTTTATTTATTTATTTACATATACAAGAGTTCTTATATTCTTGTAAAGTCACTAGCACGCATAGCGTTTCTGGCAGGTTCGTAATCTAAATTTTCCCTGGAATAGACCCGTCAAATCGTTTGACAACCAGGTGTACCTATTCACTGCTGGGTGAACAGAGGCGTACAATTAAGGATTGGTGCCCAGTCAATCCAGCCCGTCCTCCAAAAATGGGGAGGTAAATGTAACAGCACAAGTGCAATTATGTACTATTCATAGCAGTCAGGAATTGTACTTATTTTCACTTAGTATTAAACCGTACTGTCAAATATATTGTGAATATTTGAGTTTACCTGAAAAGCTGAATAGAAAACCACGACCTAACCTAACCTTCTTAGTGTTTGAAGATAAGCATTTTATTGCTTCTTAATTACAATTAGTACTTAACCTATAGCTATATTGATATTACAGTTTTATAAAACTAATAAAACAAAACTAAAATATATCAATAAATTGTAAAGTAACTCAGGATATTTTCAAATTTTGTATAAAATCTCTATTGTTTAATAAAACTGAAAAAGAAATTCCTGATATTTAAAACTTGTGTATAGCGAATTGAACTTGAAAACTTCATCCTAAAATTCTGAGTGTCTTAACAGAAAACGAGAATAAATGGGGAGGTAAATGTAACAGCCCCATAAGTGCAATTATGTACTATGTATGACAGTAAGGAAATGTACTTATTACACTTAGTATTAAACCGTACTGTCAATTCGGAGGATGGGTTGCAGCGTCTGTATACTTAGTCATAAAAATACTGTATTTGTGTACGTCTGATAATGTGTAAAGGAAGAAATGGATATGTTTATCACTCAGAATGTTCGGTAATATGCTTATTGATTGTGATGTGTGTATATATATATATATATATATATATATATATATATATATATATATATATATATATATATATATATATATATATATATATATATATATTATATATATATATATATGCATATATATATATATATATATATATATATATATATATATATTATATATATAATACATATATATATATATATATAATATATATATATATATATATATAATACATATATATATATATATATATATATATATATATATATATATATATATATATATATATATATATATATATATTATATAAATACAAAAAAAAATAAAAAAAAATTAATAGGGTGGTAGGAGAGGAAAAGATTAAAGTATTCAGTGAGAATCCACAAGGTCTTCTCTGAACACTATTTATTTTCTTCTTCGAGGATGTGGGTCCCTTTAATTAAACCAGTGGTGATACCCCTATATATATATATATATATATATATATATATATATATATATATATATATATATATATATATATATATATATATGTATATATATGTATATATATATACACACACACATATAACCCACGAAAGAAAATGAAACAATAAATTACGTGAGCGCTTTCGAATAAATTAATGAATCTTGAGAAATCTAAACAATGCAATACTGTGCAGAAAATATAAAAACATGGATATCTAAATTTCTCATGTTCTTCATTTGAGAAGGAAATTTAAAAAAAGATCTCCAACGTTCATTTCACAGTATTATATGGCATGACGCAAAGAGATGCGTCTTACGGATCCTGTTAATATTTTAAAAGGAGAGTAGACGTGGATACAACTTAGCTAAAGCAACCAAATATATAACTATGAGGTGAAGGTGTCGTATGGGCCATTAGGCGTCATGCATTTTCCTTACTTCCTTCGTTCTTATGATGGCTAGAGCAGTTATGCAGGATGTTCTATCTTGGTCTTAAAATTGGTAGAATATAATTGAGTGTTGGCTCACTATTGATAGTTGGTCGAGTTTGTTTGATATGTAGTGGTTCACCCATGTCTAACCTTCTATTGCCATTGTATCTCAATTATTTTAGTGTTGTTTGTCAGGATATATCTGGTGATGATCTGGTTGTGTCGAAACTACATGTTCTTCGACGGAGCCTTATTGTTTGTGCAGTGTCAGGCGACTTAAAAAGAGATCTTGAGATGTTCGCTTGCGTATATACTGATTCTCTCCCTCTTTCTCTCTTGTGGCCAGTATTAGGGAAGTCAATAAGGATAATCTAAATTCCCTTGATTGCATCCAAAGGGATTATTCTTCTTAGGAGTCCTCTTCTTCCCCGCCCTCTATATACTGTAATTTATTAGACTTTGGATTTATTAGGTGACTTTACATTTTGTTGAGAAGTATTACTGTAAAATTATGTAAACCCACATGCTAGGTTTTGAAATTTGCCAAAAATACTGTGCGTAATTAACGGTATTATAAAACACCTACAATCACTAATATTTAAATGCAAAATGTTTCATAAAGTGTACATTTTTGTACAAATACGACTATCATTATTACACATTATGTTCTCAATATTATTATTGAAAAAATCAACTCGAGCTGTGAGGTGACTCGAACCAGTGACCTAGAGAATCCCAAACACTAACGCTAACTACTGGACCACCCTGAACTGGTAAGCCATACATCCGGATTTCTACTGAAATCATAGGAAGTCTGGAGGCCTCTCCTGAAGCCAGTCCAAGTTTGACGTTTGACCCCCAAGCACTTGGGATTTAGGCAACGTAGTTCATGCATCGTATTCTCCAACATCAAATATACAAGAGAAATCACACTAACGTGATAGTCTGGAAGGGGGGCCCTGCAAACTTTCTGTGATTTCAGTAGAAATCCGGTTGTAAAACATTTTACTAGGTGTGCTAAGGCGACCGCGCGTGTACACACATTGGGTCCTAGTAGTACAGTCGGGTTCGTTCTTGACTCAAAATCAGAAATTCCTAGTTCGAATCACGGGAGGGACAGAAATGGCTGGGCGCGTTTCCTATCTTTTAATGCACCTCTTCACATAGCAGCAAATATGTACCACGAAGCTAGTCAGTTTGTTGCATCCCGGGGAACGTCAGTAATTCGACCTTGGAAGGGGGACTTTGATGAGCCTAACTTGTATACACCAGTTGCCAGTCATTCACAATGAATTATTATTTACTATTATTGGCTTAACGCTTTTATCTTGATAACTACTTATCTTATAAGGGTCGGAATTGTGATATGCTCATCTTCATTACGTCCAGTGATTTATTTAATCCATCAATAGATTTTAATCTATTTGTCAGTATCATGTACTACCTACCTACCTTATCAGGGCCGGAATTGTGATATGCTCATCATTATTGCGTCCAGTGATTTATTTAATCCATCAATAGATTTTAATCTATTTGTCAGTATCATGTACTACCTACCTACCTTATCAGGGCCGGAATTGTGATATGCTCATCATTATTGCGTCCAGTGATTTATTTAATCCATCAATAGATTTTAATCTATTTGTCAGTATCATGTACTACCTACCTACCTTATCAGGGCCGGAATTGTGATATGCTCATCATTATTGCGTCCAGTGATTTATTTAATCCATCAATAGATTTTAATCTATTTGTCAGTATCATGTACTTTTAATGATATGTCCGTAGACGCAACCCGTCATATGCTTGACGAGTCCTGGACACTTCCTGGGCACACGGACACTCCTGGCCACCCGGGCACGCCTTGGACTTATGTATTCTTCCTTGCCAACCGGACACGTCCTGGCCAAATGGATACCAAGAACCAAAATATTCTAACAAAGACACGTCAATACGACACGGACGCGTACTGACTATAAGAACACGCCCAAGCCACGTAGACACGTCCTAACGACAGGGTCATGTTCTTGGGGCACATAGACACGTCCTAATGACAAGGTCACGTCTTGACCACATAGACAAGTCCTAATGATAAGGATACGTCCTAATGATAAGGACACGTCCTAATGATAAGGACACGTCCTAATAATAAGGACACGTCCTAATAATGACACGTCCTAGCCACCCTTCAAAGCCACGACAATACCAATTTATGAAACACGTGATATTTAGCGTACCAAATTTCCATCCTCCGTCGTGAAAATAGTTCTAGCATCCAAATAATAACATTCAATTCATCATACGAGAACAGATAAAAAAATATATTAATGTGTTGCGATAACATTGAGAAAGAGATGGGGGGTATATGGGCGTATATAACCTCGTGTACGTGCCTCAAGAAGCCAGCACCCACACTCACCTCGCCTCATCAACAACGCTAGAGGCGCTGTGAATCCCGCTCAGCCTCGGTAATGGTCCTCACAAAACCATCTTTCACTCTGCACTTCACTAAAGCTTGCTTCCGAGTCGTATTTACACGTGTCTCGACGCCATGGTCGGGCTTGACTTTCGTGTGGGGACAATGTTTACGATGGACCGGCGGAGCCATCTGGCGGGCGGCTTGAGAACCACCTGGTCAGGCTGGCTGCCGCGCGCAACAGCCAATCAATACTCCCCGGGCGACGGAGCGAGATTTCCATTGGTCCGTTGTTCGTTTTCTGTAGCATCATTAAGCGTGCCAGAAAGCCGTGTTGATCAATAGATCCTGAATGTTGGTTGTCACCGAGAAACTACTTAAGAAGATACAAATATACTACTCCAACCCCGATAAGCTGCACTGTCACGCAGAATTAGAGCGGAAATGTTAAAAATACCAGAGAGAGCGTGGTCAGCCTCGCCAGGCATCTCTATACACGAAGCTAGTAGGAATTTGGCAGGCGAGGGAAGCCGACTGGGTGGAGTCAGGACGCGCTCCTAAAATGTTCCCAGTCCGGGGAAACGTCTCTAGGACAATGGCGCCATATATCCACCTGAATCAATACAGAATAAAGCATTAAACTGCGTCGGCCTTTCAGAATCAAGTGCAATTTCGTGGGGATATGCAGTTTCTACCATGCACTTAGTGGATGTAACATTGATTCTCAATGAAGCATCTCTTGTACATATCATGCATCTGTATCAATGAAGAATATCTTGCACATATATTTTTTGTCTGTTTTTTCTTCTGATATTGTAGTAGTGAGTGTTACAAGACATCAACGTCATATTTATGCAATTGTATATAGATACACAACTCTCTATCTATATATCTATCTATCTATACACACACACACACACACACACACACACACACACACACACACACACACACACACACACACACACACACCATATATATATATATATATATATATATATATATATATATATATATATATATAATATATATATATATATATATATATATATATATATATATATATATATATGTATAATATAATATTTTATTTATTGGTTGGTTGCCTCAGATAATTGGCATAACAACCACTACGGACGTGCTCTAGTTCAACTCATTAGGTTCATTTTAAAACGCAGATTATATTAGCTAATTAACACAGTCCCTAACGAGAATACTTGTTCTTGACTCATACTATAAATGAGTGATAATACGTTCTTGATAATTAGTAAAGTCGACAATCAGACTTGACATTGACCTACATTGTAAACTTCAGTATTTTATCGACCCGATAATTATAGCCGACATTCGACCATAATCGGTAATAATTATCGGATTATTGGTTTATCGGGGGTGTGGGTAGCCTGAGCATCGGGTGTAGAGGAGATACACACACATTTTCTCCTCTTATGACGTCACATAATTCATCTCTGTCGGCTCGAACCGTACAAAGAAGACTTGTTTTCCTTCACAAACGACGCCATGTATTATGCTGTGGAGCTCTTGGATCCAATGCGCCTTGAAAATTCCCTCCAATACAGCCACTTAAGTCAATACCTTGTTACAGGCCACTGTATTTTGCTACTAATCTGCAGCTTACCGCTGTTCTGACCCTGATCACTAGCCTGCAATAGAAAACTGTTTTCCCTCAGACAACTACCCTGCCTGAGGATGCTATACTATTTTAGGCTACTACTTTCCGCCATCTTGGATACGTTTTGAACACATGGACACCACCTGGCTACTCGGACACGGTCTGTCCTGGACACATGTATTCGTTATGGATACATACCGAAATTTACCTGAGGGCAACCATCTTTCTAGTGGCCTCGACGGGGAGGGAAAGCCAGCGGCTTGTCAAATGTCCCTGCATTTTTCTGAGGATTATTTCCAACTGGATTTTGAATTGCAATAATGTCTTGGCCTTTATAACTTCGGCGAGTAGGCGGTTCCATGGGTTTATAACCCTTTGGGTGAAAAAACATGTCCTTTTTTCTGTCCTACAATGTGGCTTGTTGAGCTTGAAGCTGTTACCTCTTGTTTGTGTTTAATTTAACCTTATAAAGAAGTGGTCTGGATTAACAAAGACATGTATTAGCCCACAACTTACCTGCGCACCGCTACCCCACCTCTAGGCCACAACCCACCCTGCACCACTACCCACTCCTGGTCAGTACCCACCCTGCACCACTACCCACCCTGCACCACTACCCACTCCTGGTCAGTACCCACCCTGCACCACTACCCACTCCTGGTCAGTACCCAACCCCAGGTCACAACCCACCCTGCACCACTACCCACTCCTGGTCAGTACTCACCCCCAGGCCACAACCCACCCTGCAACACTACCCACTCCTGGTCAGTACCCACCCTGCACCACTACCCACTCCTGGTCAGTACCCACCTCCAGGTCACAACCCACCCTGCACCACTACCCACTTCTTGACCATTTTATATAACAGTGCTTCAGAAATTCAATATTCCACTCACTTGTGCGTGAATGAGTATGGTAATTAAGTGAATTCATTAATAAATTATAGCTTTCTTTAATGCCAATTAGCGTCAACGAGCAGAGGAAGTTCGGCTCAAGAGGTGTACGGAAGTCCGCACTTCCTTATACACTATTTAAATGTATGTTCGGTATACGGATGTTGCAGGATTCAGCTCATTCGGAATGTCAAAAAAAAATATCCAAATTATGGTAGACAATCCGAATCCATAAAATTTAAACAAATGGGTTATGCCTTAGTGTTGAAATACCTGAAGGAAATATTGTCATTTCAAAATACCTATATTTTCACTCCATATTATAAATTTACCTTTCCGGTTGAGTACTACATTAGGCTTTCTAAATGTTTTATATTTTTCCAGAAAGTTGTTGAGGGTCACAAGGATAAGATGTCTGGAGTACCCCCTGTGACCTATTTTGTGACCTCAGACTCACGTACTTCCTTAGGTTCAGGTAAGATTTGTCTGCAAATAATTATTCGAGAGCGGAACTAGTTTAGAACAACTTAAAAAAAAATTAATAGACCGATATAGAATCAAATATTTCCTATTGCCATAAGCAGCAATATTGGGAGCTGGTAATACCATTGGTAAAGTGGTTAGTTATTAGAAGCCGTCGTATTGAGCCACACAAAATTGAAACCTTAATTGAAACAATTGGTTTCATGTAGTATATATTGAATGTTTCAGTATTATTGTAGCTCTGTGGTCTAGCTACTGTAAAGACGCCGCTCCTTGAAACATCTCTTTCGTATATGAATATCTCAATGACCTTGAAACTCTCTCGGATATTTATATTCACTATAAATATGAGAGAAATGTGGAGTAATTATGGGGTAGCCTAGCCAGTGGTGGCGTGAGCCTAGTTAAATACATTCCACGAATGTGATTATCGACTGGCCGTCTCAATTATGTTTTCTGTAAGACATACTGCCCTCAAAATACAACAGCAGTAGGGGATATACTAAAATCTCTCCATTAAATTAATCTAATTCAGTATTAAAAATAACAATGACTAAATCAAAATATTACATAGCTTCAACGATAAAATGAGGACATTGGATAAAGTTGACAATATATAATAATATCGACTTACCTGCAATATATCTCCGCAGTCATATAAGACCTGGCCACTGAAAATCTCATGGCCAAGGCGACAAATTATATTTGTAACTATTTTACTCCTTTTATTGTGGTCTGGAACTGGCGCAGCGATCATAAAAAAGTGGAGTTTACGGTCAGCAGGAATAAACAGCGGCCACTAAGGAAAGGTAAATAAAGTGGAAGGGATCCGGGCAAGCTATCGCCAGCTCAATACTTTCTCACAACTTTGTCCACTGCGAAAAGAAGCAGAGAGAGAGAGAGGATGAGAGAGAAAACGCAGATTGTAAAATAAGTTTCTACTATTTTTTGGTGAACTGGATTGATCTCAAAAGCGGTATTCAGTGCTTATATTCAGTACAGTTACAGTGCCGCTCCTGTGGCAGGTAAGTCTACCACGGGCTCACCATAACCTGTGCAACTTGGAACCTTTTGTTCCGAGTAGCTGAATCTAAAACAACAACAACAGATAATGCCCGTTACAACAGCATCCTGAATGGGACCCAGCAGCAACCTGTACAGTTTCCAGATATGTCTTGTATTTGTCTTAGCAGTGTCTATGCTGGTTACCGCAGCTTCCTATTCTGACCACAAATGTTATATCATTAATGCAGACACTCAAACATCAGTGTCGTCGAATACATATGAACTTGGTGCCAACTCATGTAGGTATATCAGAGAATGAGAGTGCAGACGAAGTTGGAAACCTCCCTCATACAATAGAAGAAATATGGACATTTACATATCACAGAGTTTAGCACAGATTAAAAAAAAAAATTTAGATTGAGAACATAAAGATGTACTGTGTTTTTTAACGGTTCTTGGGATACCCATGTGCTTGTGAACTAGGCTTACAGGTTCCAAGAGAAGAGATGAAATGTCATCATTGTGCAGAAATTCCAAACAGATCACTGCCCCCGAAAAGTGTCCTATTTTGGTTCCAAAACTTTCTATACTGGTTGCGGCAGCGTCCTATTATGGTTCTCGAAGCTTCCTATGCTGGCTCGAGCAGCGTCCAGAACTGGTCTGAGAACTGCCTTCAACTGTTACAGTAGCATCCTTTAGTGGTCCCAGCAGTTTCCTATACATATGTCCTAGCAGTATCCTGTGGTGGTCCGAGCAGTTTCCTATACACATGTCCTAGCAGTATCCTGTGATGGTCCCAGCAGCGTCCTATACATGTCTCAGCAGTATTCTGTAGTGGTCCCAGCAATGTTCTATATTAGCAGCGTTCAAGTAGCGAATATATGGGACTTAATCATTCTACACGGTTTTCAAACCAATTAATAACCGGGTAGCCGGCTAAAAATCGCAGTAAGGGGGCTGGAACCGACAAAAATAATAGTAACGGGACTGGAACCATTACAAAATTTAGGTTTACTGTTTATTTCGTAAACCTAAATCCTGCGTTCGAGTTTCCTAAGGATGAAGTATTTATGGGGAGCATAATAAATGACTTAACTCAAAAGGCTGTAGTGTTAATTTGTAATTCGATTTAAGATCAAATCAATACAAAATACGTTGATTTGACAAAACTCATTT